ATTAATTAATTAAAAATTGAATGGTTGAGATGAAGGTTGTATAGGGTGTAGAAATGACAAATGATGTAAAATAACACCCCTCTATATATATATATATATATATTCCAGTACGCGTAATTAATGACAATTGTTATGAATAAAGAAGTCAATTGGTATACAAATTCCTCTTTGTTAAAAGGTTCCATCCACTACAAAATGTACTTTGCTTTACAGCCATAATCTTTTGTCCCTTTTTGTCATTTCAGTCCACCAACTTTGACTTACTAACGCCTTAAAGTCAAACTTGTCACCTTCTTCACTCTATGAGTCCATTGTATCATCTCAAAAATAAATTAATAAAATTAAAAGGAAAAAAAACATTTTTTTAATCTATATCATTTTTTCCCATAAAAAATTATCACTTTACATGGTTATAGAAAAATATTACAAGTAATTAATATATATGAAGAATGATTTAAAGCAAAACAATTTATTTCAAAAAATCTGTTCAAAATCACTCAGTTTTAGGAAATACAGTGTTTTTTTTTTATTAATACAAAAACGAGATATCTCTTTAATTTATAACAAAAAATCAAATACAATCAATTTGAAAAACTACTTTGGAGCGTAGATTCCTGATAACTCATCCCCTCTCGTGAGTACATTGAACCAAAATTGCATGTCATCAAACATGCTAGACTTGTACTTGTATCCTCGTTCCACCGTAGTAAAATTACTAGAGTTTTCACTTGAGAAAATGTCTGACCAAAAGTCTTCATCTACGTTCTGAATTTTTCTCACAGCTTGCGAGTCATATTTATCCATGATAATGGCCGAAGAAATCTCACTATATGAATGTTGAGGGGAATGAAGTTGACTATAACTTGTTCGGTCATAACCACCAAAATTGATTTCCGATGATGACAGTGACGATTCAGTGTCCTCTTCTTTTAATTTGGTTATTTTTTGTTGAAAACTCGAGAGTCTGCATCTGTTTTCGGGCTCCTTTACTCTCTTTTTTAAGTGGGTATGCCATACATTTTTTATTTCGTTATCTGTACGTCCAGGTAATCGGGCTGCAATGGTCGACCATCTACAATTTGAATAAGCAAACATTATATTAATTCACAAAATCCATGGTAGTAGTTACACACGTACATTTAGCAACATACAAATTTAAAAGATTCAATATTACTCGTATACGTTATACACAAACTATCAGTAGTATGCATGTTCAAAAGAAAGTTCTTGCTTGATATCATAAAACAAACCTATTTCCCAAAGCGGCATGCAATTCTATGATACTTTGCTCTTCTTCCCTGCTAAAATTTCCTCTTTTAATATCTGGTCTCAGATAATTCGTCCATCTGAGCCGACAACTTTTTCCACATCTCATCAAACCTGTCGATAAAGCAACAAAAACCCAATCAGTTCACAAGATAACTAAGGATATCAATCTTTGATCAGTGATTGAACTGAAAACAAGAATAAAATGGACTCTGAAGCAGAAAGAAACTGACCAGCTAGTTTGGGAAGAGCACGCCAATTGTCATGACCATATGAGTTAACGTAGTTGATGAGGATGTTGTCTTCTTCACGAGTCCACGGGCCTTTCTTCAACCCCATTTTTTCGCAACACGGGGCTCTAACCATTTTTGTATCTTGATTTTTTCCTCTTGTAGTTAGAGGAAGAGAGTTTGGAAGTTGAAGTATGAAGTGATTAAAAGGGGAATAATGTAGTGTTTATATAAGAGGGTGTGTACCACAAAAGGACAAGTTAAGGTTGAAGATGCAATTTTTATGATTAATTAAAATGAAAATAATATGTATATATTTTCTTGATCAAAAGTTAAAAAGTGACATTTTGGAGTTTGTAAATGATAAAAGTGGTCACTTCTACCACTTTTATAATCTGGTTTAATTTGGGTTAGGCTAAATGTACCTCTATATATTTTTAGAAGCATATTTATTTACTGATTTTCTATTCATGCATATTAAAATTAATATTTATTTTTGTATTTTTAATACATGATTTGACCTGATGTTAACATAAAAAAAGGTGTGTATGATATTTCTCTTTGGTTTTTGAAAATTGACAAAACTAGGCATTTTTGACGAACGTTTTCATTTTTTCAACGAACTTTTTAGAATTTTGAACTAGATGGTATGTAGTTTATATGAATGAAATATGATTCTAGTGGGCTATTTCATAAAGCCAATTTGATATTTTGCAAGTCGTCGTACTGTTTTTGCATGTTGACCCTTTTGATTTATAAAGTACATATATATAGGGTTGGGTTCACGTGAGACCAAAGGTTTTTCGTGAGACCCGTAAAACCAATTTATGTTCATTGATCAACTTTATAAGGTAATGATCTAATGGTCTAAAGTTGTACAGTGACAATTTTGCGATTATTGAGAAGTCTCGTGTCAATTTTGTGATTATGAATGTTCAGATTGTAGATCTAATCTAAGGATTGAGAATTGGTTTTACGGGTCTCACGAAAAAACACTTGGTTTCACTGGTTCATGTTGTAATTGATTCACGAGTAATATGAAATCGTTTCATGGTGAACCATGTTTCAGTGATGATGTAGTTGATCCGTTTAGTAGAAAAAATGGAACATGAAACAGGTGCATAATTTATTTGGTTCGTCATGAAATAATTGCATGATGAAACGGGTACATGATGAATCTGCTTCGGGATCTTGAAGATTGTAATATGCTCTAGAATCTTGAAGATTGTAAGGATTAAAGGAAATAATGCATCAAATCATGAGTGAAATAAAAAAGTTAATTTACATGAAACATGTTTCATGAAGCTAAAACTGGGTCATGTTGTAATTGATTCATGAGTAATATGAAATCATTTCATGGTGAACCATGTTTCAGTGATGGTGTAGTTGATCCGTTTAGTAGAAAAAATGGAACATAAAACTGGTGCATAATTTACTTGGTTCATCATGAAATAATTGCATGAGGAAACAAGTACATGATGAATCTGCTTCGGGATCTTGAAGATTGTAATCTACTCCAGAATCTTGAAGATTGTAAGGAGTAAAAGAAAAAATGCATCAAATCATGAGTGAAAAATAATAATAATTTACATGAAACAAGTTTCATGAAGGTGAAACTGATTAATGGCGTAATTGAACAATAAGTGGTGAAYTGCTTTYATGGTGAAACYCGTTTCAGTGATGGTGTAGGTGATCCATTCAGTAGATGAAATGAAAAATGAAACGRGTGCATAATGTAGGYGGTTYGTCATGAAATAATTGCAAGATGAAAAATAAATTAGTTTCATTAATAATAATAAATGTTAACGTAAAAATGTTAACGTAAAAATAATAAATTACTTTACAAAAAATAGATTAGTTTCATTAATAATATGATATACATGATATGTTTTCCTTGAATAAATGAATATTTGGTTTTACCCTTTTGCCCTTATCGATATTATAAAATGTATTTTTTATTTTTTATTTTTAATTTCCTTAAATAATCTTGATTAATTTTAACCATTGATTAATAAAATAGATAGGTGAGATTGGTTTACACAAATGAAGATGATTTTTATTTGATCGCTCCTCTATATATATATATATGACTAATTTGGTAATTTGTATATATATTACCCAAGATGACTAAGTTGATCGCTCCTATATATATATATATATATATATATATATATATATATATATATATATATCCCAAGATGACTAATTTGGTAATTTCTCTTAATTTTTTTAAAAGTGTAATAATATATAACAGAAGACGACAAAAGTTTATTTTATTTTTATTAAAATAAAATAAAATATTTGCTTTAATATAATAAAGAAATGAGAAACGAGCACGTGGGGATGGTTTTATTTTATTTTTATTTTAATTATAAAAACAATGGATGGTCAAATTAGGGTGTGAACACATGGGTGTATAGCGGCTGGTGCGTATTTTAGCATTGCTTCATGTATTACAAATACCGATTACCACTCATCTATGATGTATGATTTGAGATCGTGTGAAATCATTCTCTTTTCATAAGATCTTTGAAATTATTTAAATAATATTAAACTTTAGCAAGAAGATACTGTAAATGTATATCTTTATAATGTTTTTACTGTGAAAATTCGGTGTTTTTCGTACCTTCACAATGTTTTGTTGTAAATATTCAATGATATTTTATGGTTTCATGAAAACAGTCTGGTCTCAGAATGACCCAACCCTGTAATGTACTGTTGTAATATAGTATATAAAAAAATTAAGAAAAACCAATAATTTTTTTTATTTTTATTGATTAGGTTTTCAAACTATTTTTTTGAACAAAAAAATTATTAAACTAAATTATATGACAAAAAATAGTGTGTGTGTGTATATATAATTTATGTATAGAAAACTAAATGCCCTTATGTGAGAGTCAAGGGCGGACCCACATGCATAAATATGGTGGCATGGGCTACCACTTCATAGTTTCATCGTAAGGGGAAAAAATTACGTTTCTAAAGAGTGTCATCGTACTGTTTTGTTGGATGCCACATACAATTTTGAAATTGTAATGTTAGTACAAGATTATAATGGCTAGGATAGTAAATGCTTAGCCCTTGTATATATAAAAGATGTAGGTGTAACGCCCCCAGAACCCCGTAGCAATGATATTGTCCGCTTTGACTAACCTGCCCGCTAAACCACAAAGCAGTAGCCGCACGGTTTTGTTTCTG